TCTTCCCAAACCTTCCCTTCCCAAACCTTTCCAAACCTTCCCAAACCTTCCCAAACCTTCCCTTCCCAAATCTTCCCAAACCTTCCCTTCCCAAACCTTCCATTCCCTTCCCCTTTCCCACTATCAGGTTGGTAAGAGTGGTACAGCACAACTGGTAGTGTGTTATTCCTACCAGTACATTTATTGAAGAACTTCTACCAAGTTCAAGAGCAGCAGAAAATTTGTCTGTGGGTGATTAGATGTACTGTTGGAATGTTGTGGTTTTTTGGTTCTTTTTTTGTTTGTTTGTTTTTCTTTTTAAACTGCGCCTTCTCTCTCCTGTGGAAGATAATGTGAAGCAAGTTCTGGGTAGATGGATCATGAAAGTATAATAAAATTTTCACTTTTTCTGTCTATCAGGAAAGAGTAATACTTTGGGAGCTTTAAAATTGTCATAAAAACATCATCCTGAAGAACTGAATCTCAGTGCTTAATGCTATTTCTCTAATGGCATTTCACCTTTCATTTCTATTTAACTGAAAGCATTTGCTTTGGTAAAACAAACTGTGATACTGATGAACACTGACATTTGCTAACACTATCAAGTAGTAAAACAAAGGCTGAGAAGACAATAGACCCAACAGGAGACTACCCACAGATTAGAAGAGAAAGAATACCATCAGCTCTTAATTGCCAATTCAGCCTACTAATCTTGGATTAAAAAATAAAAGCGAAGATCAATTTATTATTATTTTCTTTTGAATTTGGCATCTCTGGCCAAAAAAGGAGCCAGAAGAAGAGTGGCAGAAGTAGCTTGGGAATTTTAAGACAGAGAGAATACATGGTCAAGCGATAGGGAACAACAGCAAGAAAGACAGCTCAATTTTAAGAAGTCCTCAACACATTACAGCTTTAAACCCTGGACTGTGCTGTAAAATCAGTCATAAGTAAACTAAAAATTTTAAATTGAAAAATAAAACCCAGAATATATGGGGAAGAAAAGAATAATTTCTGTACAATTAAAATACTGCAGTCATTTTTTCCTGATCTATGCTGAGTCCTTATTTTTTCATCTGTTAACAAAAGGGGAGTAGAACAGCTGTGTAAAAAATTTGACAGCAGCTATTAAGTATAGAGCACATATGACTCTTCCAGGTCTTAAGTTTGTTTTGTATTCATAAATGTCAATTTCAGCATTTTTTTAATTGAAGTTAAAAATATGGTTTCTGCATATTACTTTATACGAAAACTGTTTTGAGCAACTAATTGATATTAACTATATTCACCATAATAGATATGTACACCAAAAGTCTGTATGTACCCATGTGTGCACAAATACAATGGAAACAGAATGCATTTATGTGGAAAGAAATATTTTCTTTGAAATGTCAGTGGCTTTTTTTAATGCACAAGATTGTATGAAAAACTCATGTGTCAAGAACTTAAAAAAAAAAACAAACTCATCAAAAAACCCAGAAAAGAATAAAAGGAGACATCCAAAAGAAAGTCTTAGAGATAAAAATATCTGTTTTAGAGAGCCCCCAAAAAAATATTTGGTGTATTTTAAGTTTCCATTCTTCTTCTAGCTTCTTAAACTCAGCTCTCAATTTTCTATATTATGATGTTATGCTCTAGAGATAAAGTGAATCTCTGTTTAAGGAGGGATGCATTTAAGTTTTATCCTTATATTGAATTCTAGGTTATTTCATAAAAAAAAGTATTTAGCATGATTGTAAGATTGCTGCAAAAGGAAATAGAAATAAATATGTAAACTCAAACATTTTCCCTAGCACTTCATTTGAAGGAAGTTTAGCTGGGAACAGTCTGAAAAACTAACAGGAGGAAACATTTTAACCTGAAATGAAACTTTATTGCTGTAGAGATATTGTGTGAAGATGCAGTGTAGATGACTAAACTAGATTATGTTGAGCTACAGATATCACAAGGAAGAGCATGTGGGAGAAAGGACACAAAAAGAGAAAGCAGAGATAATAAACATCAAGAAACAAAGAAGCTGTGCAGTTATAAGTGTGAAGACAAGAAATCTGTGTATGAGATGGAGAGGTGAGAAAAAACCTGGAAAGACAAAGGACCAATTGACCCATATCTTGAAGTCCCCAGTTCCCTTTAACACCAGTGGAGAGAGGGGGTGTCATTCTCTGTGTGAGGGACACCATTTACTGAACTTACTGCTGTCTCATGTGAAATGGCAGCTACTTCTCTCTGCTGACTGTTGGGAGATGATGAGTAATGCATACCTCAGAACACTGAAAAGTGATGCATAGCCTGTTAACCAGAGCCAATGAATGGCATGAAATCCACTTGTGTAGGAAACATGGATACTGATTTTGCCATATATTATTTCAAAATATACATTCTTTATTATTCAGATGGTAAATAATCATGGAAGAAGTCAGAAAAATACATATTATGTAAGCCATCTCACGTGAACCTTTGGAAGACTTTTACATCAAATATGTTCATCTGTGGTTTTTCTTCAATGTGCTCTGAATGCAGATGCTAGGGAGTAATTATTTAATTAAGAATACTAGTGATCTTTTTCAGCAAAAGATAAAAGTGCACTTCTAGTCTAATGATCTTGAGTATTTTGAAAACCAGCGTATTACACTGATTGTTGCACGATTTCAACTTTTTGATCAGTTAAACTTAACAGTTAATTACATTTAATCAGATGGCACTAGTACAGTATGTTCTTTTCTTTATTCTTTTGTCTTTTATTTTCATCTGTTCTTTCTGCCATAAAGAGGAAGCAATTGTCTAGTTGCAACAGTATTCCCATTAGGATTGGACTGGGATCCCAGTGGTCTCTTGCAATAATTTACAATTAAGCCTTCAGGATTCAATGCATTAACACACTGGACATCATAAAGAATTCACATGCATATGCCCTAACACAGTCTGATCTCTTTGTGACAATGGACAGACTGAAGCGAAATACAATTCCTTCTTGGAACAGTGTTTCTCTGAATCTCCTTCACCTCATGCCCTAGTCATTCTTTATTGAAAACAAAACCAGTATTTCATAGAGGACAAGCATTTTTATGTAATTAGTGGTGCTCACCATTTCAGTATACTATATAATTTGCAATGCTAGCTAAAATGTGTGCTTGCATAAGCAGTGCTCACATATAGAGGTATTTACACCTTCAAGTTCTGCTAAGGCACTCAAGAACATAGTTCTTTCAAACAAAAGGAGTACAAGTTACTGTAAGAAAGATTATTATATCAAATTTGTACCTTATTTATACATTCAGGCTGCAATGTTGTAACAGAAGAATTCCCATTATATTTCAATTTGTACCTCAGTCACTTTCACAGTCACAAAGCTTCCGTGATTTCAATTTCCAGTGAAAATCCTATAATTTCCAACACATAAACAAGCCTTTAATGTGTAGAAGGTCTTCTCCCTCTCATGATTATAAATTCATATGTTCTGAATGTTGATTTGGTCTAATATTTTCCATTGTAATATACTTGTGCGTTTTGGAAAATGAGTGGAAGTCATTTGGGTTAAGTAAACCACAGCCTTTTTTCCTGTTGTTTTGCTTCTGTTCTCATATCCAAGGAGCAGTAGTGCACATGTCATAATGGAGTGGGGAGACCTTGAAGAGCTGTGCTATTAAACAGTGCATTAAGCAAAGCCTCTTCAGACAGTCCATTCCGAGAAGAGGTCTGCTCCATACAAACAAAGCTCTTGAGATGCACTTTGTTGTGTTCTTACCATTCAGAAAAGCACTATTATCCTGTGCCTGTGACTCTGTGCACAATATTTCAATTGGTTCCATTTCATTGGTTTTACAGGGAACAATAAAAGAGGCCTCTTGTTCCCAGCCATCCAGCATGAGAATAGACCATGCTGAATCTCTATCATCAAGCATTTAAAAGCCTTGTAAAATATTTAATGTAGTCATTACTTTTAGAAGTCACAGACAAACAACCTTGTTCCATGAAATCAAAATATTTTTTTTAATTACAGCAGTACTGGTCATTTATTACAAACCTAAACAGAAGTTTTTAGGAATTAGTGCTCTTAAAATTACATATAAAACAGTAGAGGAAAATCTCTGATGTTTTCTCAAAGTCATTTGTGTTGCAAGCATAAGCTGCTGCTTTCTGACCAATATGAGAAATTAGGAAAATAAGTTCCTTAATCTCTTTTCAAGGAAAGCTGTCTTAACAATATGGAAAAAACTCTCTGCTGTAATGTTAACACTCTCACTACTTTCAGTTGTAATTAGAAAAGCCAATTATTCTCATTAGTGTGATGCAAAATAATAGAAGAGTGGTTTTATTTTATAATTCCAGTGCTTTTCAGATTTCCTTATGGTCCTTAGGTTGAAAATCCCCAGGTATGTAGCATTAAGTTTGGAAAGACATGTCAAAAGTAAGCTCAGGTGATGAGGTCTGCTTTTGGTACTCAAAATGTCCTCAGTGCAATGTGGGGTGCATCTGGACAAGCATGCATTTACAGCCTGGGGTGACGGGGTAAGACTGACCTCTACAGTGCTGGCTGATCTGCTTCCTCCCACAGCTGGAAGCTGACATTTTTCAGCGGCCTTCCTGCCGGACACATGGCTCTCTCTCAGCATGCAGAGGCACTGGAACTGCTTAAGACCCACATGCTGCTCAAAAGACACTTGTTGACTATCTTGCTTCAATGATTATCTATATTTAGCTTCAGATGTAACAGGTCCAGTCAGGAGGAAAGCTCTCTGTCTTGCTTTTGTTTTATAGACTTTTCTGCTTTTTAATGGGCAAAGGAAGTATGTTTTTAAGAGCAACAACCCTCTTTAAAAAAAAAGCAAAAATAAAAAAAAAAGAAAAGAAAAAGGCAAGAAAGCAACATGTGCTGTGCCTTCTTCCGTCCTCACAGTATTATCTCTCTAAACTGCTACACATTAGAACAGGTTTCCAGGGGTATGTAGGATTGTTTTATTTAGTCATTAGTATTATTGTCAATGCTTTTAAATTATGGAACATAAATATCAAATAGATCAAATAGATCATACTGTTACAGAACACAATTACTTTTGGCTCTCAACAAAAGTGCAGCCTGGGCTGTTTTCACTGAGGTCTGCTAAGTGCAGTATCTAAGTTAAATGCCTGAACTTTTTGTAATTATAGAACTGAAACAATTTTTTTATATATATATCTTTGTGGTTATTAGCATTGAGAAAATCTCAGCCATTTAGGAGTTTAGCTTGAACACAGATTCAAAATACCTACAGTAAGTTTGATTTTATTTTGCGAAGATCTTATTTTTCAATTCATTTCTGATCTTAAACTGCTCTGTAAAAATCCCAATCAGTAAACACCACACCTGTCTCTGACAAGTCCAGTCATGTTGAAACTGTTCCAATGTCCTGAGTTCTTGTCAAGCATCCAGTGACAAGGCTAAGGGAGGTATGAGATATTGGGAAATATATTGTTTGAGGAGCAGGATTCTGTTTTGGCCTTAATTTTGTTCTGCCATAGCCATCTTCTGACAGCACAAAGTGGTTAACCTGTCATTTTTTTTCAACTTCAATTAATGCCAACAGTATGTGATTCTTTAGAGATCTGGCAAAAGGCTGTATTTTAATTTGTCAAGTAAAAATGTTTTTATTATATGGGTAGGTGATCAGGGTTAATTACTAGTAGTAGCTGAACAAGTTATGTCAGAAATATATATGGTGTTTATAAGAGGTGTGTGTGTACCTCTTTAGACATTATCCCTCACACAGGGAGGTGTGAGCACAGGTCTTACATGAAGAGTGCTATTCTGGACCACCACTTCTGCAGGACAAAGTAACCTCCTGGTCCCTCCTACCAGTGACAGGGATAGTCTCTAAAGTGCTCATGTTTGTCTTCAGATTGTTCTTTCAGAGTCACAGGACTGTTTTTTGTCTATTTTTCACTGAACTTTTCTTATCAGGCAGAACCTTATGAATAAAGCAGCCTGCTTAAGCTCATCAGTGGAAAAACCAAGGGAAGGATTTATCCATCTGGATTTAGATGCATATACCCAAACTCAATATCCTCGGCTCTCTAAATTTATAGTCCAGAGATGAGATGGAAAAAAAGAATAAATTTTTGAGGTGGAGTTCTCCTCCAATCTAGTTGACAAGGATTATCCTCTAAGTATGTCCATTTGTTCCCTGACTGTAGAGGAAGCCTTGGGTGACTGTGTATTCTCTTCCCATGCAACAGAATCATTGCTGATGCTGATTTTGGAAACACAGGGACATAGTTTATATGAAAAATACTGCTGACAGGGATACTCTTACACAGAGAACTTAAGGAACTAAAATCCTGATTACTCCTTTTACGGTGACTTTTCTCACTCGTTGGTTACACATCCCACCATCTCAATTTCCCCTCTCCCTGCCTCCCCAAAAAACACAAGTAAAAGAAAAGCCCCTAACAGGAAAAGAAAGTAACTCAGTGAATTTTGTGCAATGTTACAATACTGATAGAATTAAAAAAAAAAAATAAATCTTGAGTATGTTAAAAATAAACTTTTCTTTCCTCATGGAAAGATTATACCCTTAGACATCTCCATTTTCAGCTGTTATGGTATAGGAATAAATAAACTCAGCTTAAGTTTTCAAGTGAATAAGGCATCTGTAAGTGGCCTTTTGTGACTCTGGAAGGACTAATCCTGAAGATAGTCAAAACTGGAGATAGGTCCTCAAAACAAAATGGGGTTTACTCTTAATTGAAAAGTAATGAAAAGTAATGAGTTTCAGAGTTTTCAATGTATGTCCATACCTATCTATATGCATAATTTAGTTGATTCCATGTAGAAAGATCTATTCTGACTTGAAAAATATTCTTTTCCAGTAACAAAGCCACTGGTTTTATATCATCAGTTAACTTTTGCACAAAAATGGTATATGGTGCCTCTAAACAAGACCATTTTCCCTACCTTCACTGTAGGGAGTACTTTGCATAATAATCAATCCATAACAAGTGAAGGCCATCTTGTAACTTCATTAAATACAGTGGTTGCCCAGACACTCATATCTCCCTTGGGAATAGATCTTTCCATTTTAAAAGAACAGACCAATCCTTACCTCCTTATAAAATAAAATAAAATTAAAAACATCTGACATTGTAGAGCTAGAAATAGTAAAGTGTTTTGGTGGGTTTTTTTTCCGTTTTCTTTGATGTAATAATTAGTTCCACAGTTCTAAGTACATACAAAATGAAAGTAATTCTATATAAATATTTTCTCATTTTGCAAAATAGTTGTATTTGTATAAGGATAGTAGTTATGTCTGGAATATTTCATGGCTATATTTAGTAGGTCAGAATAAGACTCAGCATGCTGATATTTCTGAAAGATTGGGGATTTGGGGGGAAAAACAAAAAAACAGTTAAAGAACTAAAATAGGTGCTATCTCTTACCTCTTATTTTGGCTTTTATACTTTCTTTGACCCACATACGATGAAAACTATTTGCTCTTCTGACAGAGGGTAGTACAGCTAGTGGAGACATGCAAAGATAGTCTCTTCTTCCTGACACAACCCAGAAGTGCTTCAAGCAGGACTTGAGATACAGCTGGAAGTAATCAAGGTGAATTGGTGGGTTTTGAATCATTCTGTGAATGCCTGAAGCAGGTCACCTTCCTTTCATGAGCTCTAAAGTGCTTAGGGCAAGCTGATACTTCTGAATTTGATGAGAGCATGGCTACATAGGTGAAAATTTGAGTGCTCAGATTAGATTTATTCAGAGAAAGCTATCATCTTTAACAGATAAAAAAAAAAAAATCAACTAAGATGTAAACTGATCCAAATAGCAGAAGAACAATTCTGGTTGTAAAAGAAAAAACAGTACTTCTTACAGAAGTAGAGTAAGCTGTAATTTAGTCAAGGTCTAATCAAAAGCTCTGGAAGTCAAGGACTTAGCATGGGCAACGAGAAATAATATCTCTGTGCTATGCTGTATATACAGTATATAAATCCTTCAGAAATATGTGAGCAATACCCGGTCCAAAGGCTTTGAACTACATCTGTATCACTCCTAGCTAGCCAGTCATTTTGTTGATCTGTCTGTCCTGTTCTTCTCATTATGTTGTCTGGTTTGTAAACTAAATTTCCAAAGTCCTGAGCAGTGATGTGTAAAGATATATATCTAAACTAAGGGATATCAGGTACAGACCAGACCAGGATGCTTTTGCTGCTTTGTGTCATGCTGGCAGCAAAAAGCAGCTGTAAATCCAACCACTGCAGAAAACTTACAGCTGCTTCTCCATGCCATAGAGACGCAAAGCAGCAACAACTCACTGATGGTTTCTTTATATAATCTCCAAATAATATTTACTATCATAAATATAATGGTTTAAGTTAATCTTTGGAATAATTCCATGGCCTCAAGAGAAAAAAAATATATAGAAATAAGACTGCTGTTTCTGTTATGACCATTTACACATGGAAATCCTGTGGAGAATGTCAAATAATAAAAAATGTTATATAGCATAGTCAGTCTCATAGCCATTTTAGGGCTGCGCTGAGACTTACAGATGAAATGAGAATGAAAATAATTA